AGAAAACGTAAAGACTACCAAAAAACTCTTACAGCTGACTAACAATTTTGATAATGTTGGAGGGCACAAAATCAACACCCACAAATCAGGAGCATTTTTATACTCCAAAAATGAACTAGCAGAAAAAGAAATCAAGAAAGCAAGCCCATTTGCAATAGCCACCAAAAAAATAAAATACCTAGGAATCAATTTAACCAAGGAGGTGAAAGATGAGATGAAAGATCTCTACAATGAGAACTACAAACTACTAGCGAAAGAAATTAAAGATATAAAAAGATGGAAAGATATTCCAAGCTCTTGGATTGGAAGAATTAAGACAGTGAAACTGTCCATTCTACCCAAAGCAATCTACAAATTCAATGTAATCTCCATCAAAATATCAACATCTTCACAGAAATAGAAAAAGCAATGCTAACATTCATAAGGTAGAGAAAAAGACCCCGAATAGCCAAAGCAATTTTGAGCTTAAAAAAAAATTTTTTTTAAAAAGCTGGAGGCATAACACTACCCAATTCCAAATTATATTACAAAGCTCAAAATAGCATGGTAATAGCATAGAAACAGACACTGAGATGTATGTAACAGGATAGAAAACCCAGGAATCAACTTACATACTTACAGCCAACTGATCTTTGACAAAGTCAACCAGAACATATGCTGTGGAAAAGACAGCCTCTTCAGTAAATAAATGGTGCTTAGAAAATTGGACATCCAAATGCAGAAAAATGAAACTGGACCAGTATCTCACCATAGGCCAAAATCAAATCAAAATGGACTAAAGACCTGAATATAAGACCCCAAATCATTAAATTACTAAAGGAAAACATTGGAGAAACACTCCAGGAAGTAGCAGGGGGCAAAGGCTTTATGAATAAGACCCCAAAAGCCACAAGTGACAATATAAAAAATAAACAAATGAGCTAATATCAAACTAAGAATCTTCTGCAGAGCAAAGGAAATAATCAACGGAGTAGAAAGACAACTTAAAAAATGGGAGAAAATATTTGCAAACTCTACATCTGCCAAGGGTTTAATATCCAGAATATACAAAGAACATGAACAGCTATATAGTAAGAAATTAAGTAATCCAAAAAAAAAAAACTGGGCAAAGGAGATGAATAGACATTTTTCAAAGACACACAAATAGCCAACAGTACGTGAAAAAATGCTCAGCATCGGTAGTCATCAGAGAAATTCAAATCAAAACCACATTGAGATATCATCTCACTCTAGTTAGACTGGCCATTATTAAAAAGACCATTAATAACAAATGCTACCGAGAATATGGGGAAAGGAGAACTCTTCTATAATGTTGGTGGGACTGTAAATTAGCACAGCCACTATGGAAAACAGTAAGAAGTTTCCTCAAATACAGATAGCACTACCGTATAATCCAGCAATCCCACTACTGGGTATATATCCAAAGAAATGGAAATCATATCGAAGGGATACCTACACTCCCACGTTCACTGCAGCTCTATTTACAATAGCCAAAATACAGACAAACCTCAGTGCCCATTGACAGATGACTGGATAAGGAAAATGTGATATATGTACACAATGGAATACTACTTAGCTATAAAAAAAAGAATGAAATTCCCACCATTTGTAACAACTTGGATGAGTCTGGAGAAAATTATGTTGTGTGAAATAAGCCAGACAAGGAAAGATAAATACCACATGCTCTCACTTAAAACTAGGTGCTAAGAAAGAAAGAAACAAAGTAACAAAGAAACAGAAAAGATTACAATTCCTTGAACTTTCAGAAGGACAGAAGAAACCAATGGTTACTAGAGATGGGGAGATGGAAGGAGGGAGTTTGGGGAATGATGGGTCAGGTAAAGGGCATAAAGAAAAATCATGATTTGTAATAATGAATATGCTAATAACAATATTTTAAAAAGTAAGACACTTTAAATACAAAAAAGAATATCATTATTGGCTTTCAAGAAAATTCCAGCTATGTGGATAACATTAAAAACCAGCTGTCAAGCTAAATCCTTTATCAGTACAAATTTTGGTATTTCTTCAAATTGGGAGAAGAATGTTGATTTAGATGTACAATGTTTGGTTACTCCCAGCCTCATTTATTTGTCACTGACACCTCTGGGAGAGACAGAGAAAAATGGCATATGCAGCTTATAAAACACATACACACCCTCCACCACTAGCTTTAAATTTCTACAAAACGATCTTGGGTTCTAGTATTCTTCCATATGTTTGTTTTATTAAAGGAAATTTGCTCAAAATTTCAATGCAATGTGCTTCTGGAGCCCATGCCAGAATTTAACCTTGAGGACACATGTTCTCCTGGATCCATTTCACACTGTGCCTGGCCACCTGCGTGGCACACACACATGAGCAGGAGGACAAGGCTTTCAGATGGGGAACTTGCACAAGCAATTATCTGGGTTTAGGTCTGCAGGCTATTAAGGTTTTCCTTTTCAACTCCCACAGCTAGAATTAAACTGCAGAAATCTGTTTTCTAGTTAAAATCTGTTCACATTCCAAATGTTTTAAGTTACTTAACAAGACTTTAGGGAGTCCAATATACTGGGAATTGTGCCTGTAAATATAAAGATCAGGAACTTCCAATTCAAAATTGTAATAAAGCAGGAATACTTTAGAAAAGAATTTTCAGCCCACTTCATGCCTTGAGTAATGGGGGGTAAAAAGTGGAAATAAAGGGAGGCAATATGGAAGCAAACAGATATAAAAACAGAAGAGAAACATCATTTTCTTGGGGAGAACTAAAAAGCAAACTGTGTCAGTAAACTAAGAAAATTATACAGAAATCCCCTGCAAAATTTACAAAAATTGCATGTTAATCGCATCACCTTGAGAATGTGAAGGATCCTTTAATGGGTAGGGCACCTCCTTAAGCAGCAGCAAAGAGCTTCCTGCACAGCAAGGCCCAGTTCACTGAGCAGCTATACCTGTGCCCACACACCGAGGGCAGCACCAGCCATGTGGGAGCAGAGGATGTTGTCAAGGCCACCTCCACAAGCAGCAGCAATTCTTGGCTCTACACCACAGGACTTCTCACAATGTACACAGTCACACAGACTGGAAATGGACCCGATATCAGCCTCAAGACCCCCGCCCCTTGAAAGCATTTCTGCAGCCAGTCAGGGAGACAAGGAAGGGTCTTCATAGGGTGCAGTTATGATGGGCTGTGTGCATGCTTCCCCGTCCCACTATACCTATCAGGACTCAGAGAATGTGCCCTGCTACCAAAAAGTGAGAGATGTTTGGTGGGAGAGAGAGGCAGAGGCACATTGAACTTGGATTATTTTACCCATGACCCTACTCTCCTCCCAATCATCATTTGGAAAAATGACATTTCTGGGGAAACAGAAAATGATCAGAAGCAAGTAGCTAAAATGTATGTCCCTTATAAATTTTAGATATCAATCAATTTCAATTTTGAGATGTAGAGATGTGCTGGGAAGGTTAATTAGCCATATCAGTGTCAGTGAAAAGCTGATGGAAGAAGTGGGAAAGGCCAAAGGAGAAAACCTATGAGTACAGAAGTTACTCTCACTGATCTGGACTTCCATCCATCCCTGTCCCCCCTCAAAAGGTGAATGAAGTAGGAGGTGATAATGTAGAGATTAGGGCACATTACTTCCCCATCTTTTCCTCTCTCCAATGTGCACAGCCTCCTCAACCCCCACACTTGGAGTCTTGGGATCAGCTCTCCAATTCTGGTCAACACAGAGAAAAACTAAGTGAACTGAAATTAAACATCCAAATTATCTCTACTGTGGTTATTTATACCCCCCAGTTTTTCTTTCCTTTACTGTTAAGTGCATATAATCAATTTAATTAAAGCATTTTAGCAGAGTATTAAAAAGTGACTGCTCCCACCCCTTTCACATATATGTGATAGTTATTTTAACATCTGTTCATTGGCTCTAAAAGCGCTGTTTTGCACAGGTGGTATAATTTGATGAACATATGAGACATGCTATTTGCTGGCTTGAAATTCTCAGCTCAAACAAGCTAAGGTGTATGAAGATTCATTATAACACAGTAACCGGTTAACTCAATAGGGACTCCATTTCTTAGGTCTTGGGCTGTTTACATAACCAAAAGGAATTACTTTTTTATATACATATATAGACCACAATAGATCTAGCACCTACCTACACAAGTATCCCCCCACCAAGTGATGTGTTCAAAGGCCAACAAAAAGGAAAACACAGAACACATTTATAATCCTGAAATCTAGGGCTATTTAATCTTTTTGATGTTTATTTTTTAAGGCACAAAATGCACTATGAACACCATAAATGAGAACTGATTTGACCACAGTTTTATGATAGAATAAAATGTATCTGATGAATTGAATTTAAATTTCTAAAATTTAACTGTGCAGCATTAGCCTGAGAAACAAGATCGAAAGCTGCATGATGTAATCAGGTTTCATGGATCTATTTGGAATATCTTCATTTCATTAATTTGAAATGTATGCCAGAGTATGACCTTTAATAGTCTGATCTTTAATAATAGCTTAAGAGATGAGCCAGGAAACCAGTCATACTTAGAATTCTCAGCACTTTCCCTTTAGTGAGGACACCCTACATCTCCACGTGTGCAAGCACACCACTCACTCACTGTGGGATCTACAGAGCAGCAGTAAATGCCCTTCAAAATTTAAATGCATGTTATGTGGGTGTGTAGTATATGAGTAGGACATGAAAAAACTCCCACTTGTCCAGTCAGAGATAAACTTAACTCCTGAAAAGCATACCTAAGTTGAATACCAGATGCAACACTAATTTGCAGAGGTTCCCACAACATATTAAAAAAAAGTGCTGATTTTATGTGCTGAGATTGGATCATGAGGGAAAACTTTATATGGGCTGTAAGAAGACTAACTGACGTTTGCACAATGAGGAATTTTAAATGCCGGGCAGTCTATCTTCATATTTTGCTGAAGACAATACAAATGCTTATCAGAGCCTCATAAGGAAAACAGATTTAAAAACTTAATCATCGAGGTGAAACATTTACTAATGAGGTTTGTACACCTTTTTGGAAAACACTGAGTGGAAGTCCCAAGAGATTAGAGATAGACCTTCAGTGTCAGGTGGCATCTTGGACATGGGCATTCCCTCCCAGCACTGATGGTGCAGCCAGTGTTTATGATCAGCATTAAAACACAACTGCAACCCCCAGTCCTGGACAGGCTCAGGAAACGGCTATCTGGAAAGAGTGGGAGGGGTCCAGGAGGCCAGCCTCCAGGTAATACATACGTTTGCACAACAGTGATGAGGAGACAGTGGAAGTCTTTTCTAGCTTTACTGCAGTGTAATTTTGGTTGCTTGCCCAGGACGGCACAGTGCTTTCACAAATTGTCTCCTTCCCGAGGGATTTGCTCCTAGAAAAAGCCACGACTGCCTTCTTCACTGTGCCTTCTTTCTTTTCTGGAGCTGGTCTCTTGTGCAGATAAGAGCTTTTAATGCCTGCCTGGATAATCAGTGAAACCCCAGTCATTACAAATGCCAGAAAGTACACCTCAACTTCATTTCATTGAGCAAGAAAGGCCATAATCCTATTTCTTCTTTGGGTCATCTACCCTGAGTCTGCACACCACATTTGCTCAGCAGCAGTCTGGCTACCTTTGCACATCCAGCTAACCCTTAGCACTCCCACCTCTTATTCAGGATTCCAACTTTTTGAGTGACAAGAAGGTCCCTGACACAGAACCCCCTGTAACCTTGCTGAGGTATGAGAGCAGTGACACAGGATGCATTAAGAGCACAAATGATGTTTCTTGATCCTCTGCCAGGCCCAGGGCATGCTTGGTGCTGCCATTCTCCTCCTGGGTGCAGCAGCAACCACTTCTTTGTCAGTTCTATGATTCAAAACTACCAACTTTAAAAATTAAGTCACCTAAAAGTAAAATAAGCGTTTGAAAATAATCAAGAAAACTCTCCAAACAGTGTTAGTTACACTTTGCTTGTCATAAATGTAATGTCAATCTGAGCCCCAGGACAGGCCTGAGACAAAAACCTGTGATTTCCAGCCATCCCTGAATTCTCCCCAAATTCCACAGAGTACCAAAACAGAACAACCTTGGCAAGAGCCAAGGGAAGCCTCCTCCACCTGGAAGCAGGCAAGAAGCAGAGCATACCTGGAGTCCAAGGCAGGACCTGAGGGCAGCATCTCCTGCCTGGAAGCAGGCACAGAACACACTAAAACACCCCTTCCACGTGGGTGGGCCACCACAACCACTACCACAGCCATGGCTGCTGCAAAAGCAGCTCAAGACCACCACAGTAACACAGGTGTCATGCAGACACCCTACCAGATACCTGATTGCATTGACACAAGAAAAGCCACCAGTGGAGTGTGGAAAAAGAAGAGTACATCGTTCTCTTCAAAGCCCACTCCAGAGTAATAGAAGAAGCAGCAACTATTCTCTAACAGATGACCAGACATAAATATAGAGATACTAGAAATATGAAAATAGAAGAAAATATGATACCACCAAAAGAAGACAGTAATTCAGACATACCAGACTCTATATAGCAAGAAACCCTTGCAAGGACATAAGGGGAATTATGAGTAACAATCTTAAAGGAACTCACTGAGATAAGAGAAGACTCAGACAACATAAAGAAATGAGAAAAAAAAATCTATGATATAAGGGAGGAAATTTACAAAGAGATTAAGACCTTATAAAAGAATGACCAGAACTCATGGAACTGAAAGATTCACTCAACAAAATATCACAACAAATAGCCTTAAGCAGCAGTATAGAACAAGCAGAAGAAATAATTTCTCATCTTGAAGATGGACTTTTTAAAATTACCCAGGCAGAAAAAAAAAAAGGAAGAAAAGAAAAAAAAAAAATTTTAAAAGGAAGAAAATCTAAGAAAGCTAGCAGGCAACCTTAAGCACACAAAAATTCAAATCATGGGCATTCCAGAAGAGGAGAAATGAAAAGGCATGGAAATCCTATCCAAAAGAAGAATAATGGTAAACTTCCCAGGAACAGGGAGAGACATGGACCTGCAGACCCAGGAAGCTCAAAAATCCCCAAACAGATTCACCCCAATAATCCTCTCCAAGACACACAACAGTCAACTGGCAAAGCTCAAAGACAAAGAGAATATTTTAAAAGAAGCAAAACGAAAGCATCAAGTCACCTATAACGGAGCCCTTATCAGACTAACAGCAGACTTTTCAACAGTAACTCTGCAGGACAGAAAGAAATGGGATAACATATTGAAAATACTAAAAGAAATAGACTGCCAGCCAAGCAAACCATATCCAGCAAGTCTACCCTCAGAAATCAGAGAGAAATAGTGTATTTTCCAGACAAAAATGGTGGGAGTTTACCTCCACATCACCACCCCTGTAAGAAATCCTGAAGGGAGTCCTACACCAGCAATCCAAAAAATGGTAATCACCCATCTTACTAGCCATAGTTCTGTTCAAACTGCTTCTTACAAAATTCAGTTTTGTTAGGTGATGTGTTTCTAGAAATTTATTCATTTCATCTAGATGATCTAATTTGTTGACCAACAATTATTAATAATATTCTCTTATAACCCTTTTGATTTCTGTAAATTTTGTTGTAATGACCCCTCTTTCATTTCTGATTTTAGTTATTTGAGTTCTCTTTTTTCTTAGTCCATCTAGACAAAGGTTTGCCAATTTTGTGGATCTCATCAAAGTACCAACATTTAGTTTCATTGATTTTAACTCCAGTTTTTTCTATGCTCTAATTTTTATTATTTACATTCTTTGCTAGATCTGGGCTTAGTTTGCTCTTCATCTTCTAGTTTCCTGAGGTGCAAAGGTGATTGCTGACTTGAGATCTTTCTTTTTTACTAACATATGCATTTATATTAAATTTCTCTTATAGCTAAAAATAAAATAAAACCTAAGAAGTAAATAAATAAAAACAGGTAAGCTATGGAGACAGTAAAAAGATCAGAGGTTATGGAGAAGGAATGGATGAATAGGCAGAGCAGAGAGGACTTCAGAGCAATGAAATTATGTTACAGTATCATGGTAGATACATATCATTAAACATCTGTCCAAATGCAGAGAATACACAAAAAAGTGTGAACTCTAGGGCCGAGCCCGTGGCGCACTCGGAAGAGTGCGGCACTGGGAGTGCAGCAGCGCTCCCGCCGTGGGTTCGGATCCTATATAGGGATGACCAGTGTGCTCACAGTGCTCACTGGCTGAGTGCAGTGCGGCCAGTCTAAAAAAGGACAAAACAAACAAACAAACAAAAAAGTGTGAACTCTAATGTAAACTGTGGTCTTTGGATGATAATGATGTGTAAGTCCATTTCATTAATTGTAACAAATGTACCACTTTGTTGGGCAATGTTGATAATGGGACAGGCTACACATGTGTGGGTCAGGGGTGTACGTGGGAAATCTCTCTACTTCCTGCTCAATACTGCTGTGAACCTAAAACTGCTCTAAAAAGTAAAGTCTATTAAAAATAAATGAATAAAAATAATAAACAATCTTGTGAGTGAGGTCTCAAATGAAGAACACAGACTTGTCCAGAGCTCACCTACCTCCCAACTACCCTGTGTGTCTACTTTCTATACAAACTCCGTCGGGTGACTACCAACTCTTTTTTCAAGACTGCTGCCAGTGTCCTGAAGTCTTATGTTCTCCATGCAGCAGTGAGTTGCCTGCCTTTGCTTTATTGCATTTATATGACTGAATTTCAGCTAATGGGTTATGAAAAAAAAAATAGGTGGAAAAGGTGGAAGACAAAGGTACAGGTGATACTATCTGCAGTACATCTGTACCTGCTGTCCCCTACAGTCTACGAATAAATAAAAAAACAAGTCTTGGGGGGAAACGCTTTTACACAAATTTTGCTCCAATTGTTCAAATGGCTGGTCTTAGGTTACCTGAACACTATACTGTGCAAGACGGAGCTTTTCTGGCTTCATCTTGATCTTCTCCTTAGGTTTTGGCTTCTGTTCTTTGCCTGAACTTAAGCATTTCATAGTAGCTGCAGCATGTGTAAGAATGCAGTCCTTGCTGCAGTAGGCCAGGTTGGGCTGCACCACATTGGAGCACCCAGGGAGGGTACACCTGGAGGTGCCTGGAGCCTCTACCACCTGCAGAGCAAAACAGGGAGCTTCAGACAGTGTGCTTGCCAATTTCAGCATTAAAGTGCTATGTAAAATCACTATTTATAGTACCAAGCTCACTGTTTTTAATTGAGATATCAATATTTTTCATATGAATAAAATCCTATCTTTACTTATTCAATTACATGAGTGTATTTCCCTGAGGCAAGGCATTCTTGGTCCTTCACACCATCTGTGGTGGGCAGAACTCTAAGGTGACCCTTAGGACACCCACTCCTGGTACATATGCTCTGTATAATTCCCTCCATCTTGAGCATGAGCAAGGTCTGTGGACACGATGAGATTTCATATCCACAATCAGGTTCTGCTTTCGGGCAAATATGCAGTAATTGCATAGGTAAGCAAGGTCCCAAATGAGATGACCAGAGACCAGAAAGGACCTGACTTCATCAGACAAAAACCCTTAAGAGAGAAACTGGCCTTTCCTGAAGAGAGGAGACTCCATTGCTGATTGTGAAATAAGCTGCCCTGCTTTGGGAAGGCCAACCAAGTTTAGGATCTGAGTATAGCTGCTAGATAATATACAGGACACACAACTAAATCTGAATTTCAGATAAACAAAAAATATTATATAAGTATGCCACAAATATTGCATGGGACATACTTATATACTGAACAGCATGAGAGATTCTGGAAGGGGATCTTTCCCATGCTGAGCCTCTGATGAGACAAAAGCCACAGCCTGACTGCAGTCCTGTTAAGATCCCAATCAGAGGGCCCAGTGAAGTCATGCCCAGGCTTGATAACTACAGAAACTGAGACCATAAATGTGTGATGTTCTAAGCTAAGTTTGTGGTAGTGTGGTATACATTAACAAAAATCTAATACAGCACAAGATGTACACTTGGTTGCTTCTGTTTTGATGGTCAAGACTAAATACACATGAAGGCATCCCTCAAATGTACTTAAGTGAAAACTTATTTCTCAAATTAAATAATTAACATGGTTATTTTTCTTCCACAGAATCTGTTTTACTTAGAATAAAATTATATATAAGCTTAAGTGAAACACATTGACGATAAAGATGAAATAGAGAAATTTTCCTATTAGTTTTTCTTAAAGACTGTGATATTAACAGTAATGTCATATTTCCATTTAGTCATTCTAAATACTTTCATGGCACATTTATTTAAATGGCTTATTCCTTGCACTTCCACCTTGCAGCTAACCCAGTGCAAGAGTGTTCATAAGGCAGAGATGCTTTAAGACAAAGCAACCTCAAAGCCTCCTGCTTTGTTGGCCCCAGTTAGATGACAAGCTGCCAGGGTAGGGGTGGGCCAGGGACTGAGAAAGTCCCAGAGTGAAACATGCTCTGAGTCATGCCCCCTCGTGGGCACTGGAATGGAGATTATGAGCATGTGACATCTCTCCTCAACAGCAGAAGCTGACATATGTGGGAAAAATGATGAAGAATCACAGCCCCAGAGGGACATAAAACCTAGTTGGGAAGGAGAGTCAAGGAAATAGCCACAAGGCAGAGAAATGACACACTGAGCCAAGCATAGTGAGGGTCAGACTGATGCAGGCACCAAGACCACTCAGGTCTTCCCACACCAAGATGGCAAAAGAACCATGAGGCAGCTCAAGAGGGTGTGTGTGGGTGGACAGGAGGGCACACACATTTCAGCAATTCAAAAACAATTCTGCTGACACACATAAAATACATAAGTAACATCAAGGACATGGAAATAAAAGTGAATTGTTAAGAATTAAGTCCACAACAGCTGATGAGGTAGGTACAGATGCTGGTCCAGACGGTGTGGGCAGGAGATGGGGGCAGAGCTCGGGAGGCCCCGCCCAGATGCAGCACCTGTCCTGGTAGAAATTAGCTTATTCCAAGACAGAAACTTTCCTAGCCTTGATATTTCTACCAATAGCAAGTGTGGAACCCATAAGGTCAACCCCTTAATGTTTACCTCAGGAGGCAAAATACTCACAGGCTGGCAAAGCTTGAGTTTTTTCTTGCCACTTGGATGTGCAGCTTTCTCAACTCTCCCCTTTATCTTTCGGTCTTCACTAGACTTTTGCTCCACTGTTCCTGGACTTCTAAAATCTGTGTCATCAGCATCTCCAGGTCTAAATTTAGTTTCCCGATGATCTGTGGTTTCTGCATTAGTCTCATCCTGCACTTGCAGAACAGTGCAGTTTGGGCAGATAGAATTTTCCCTGTTCCTTTCCAAAAGCCTTCCTCGAGCCTGAGAAGCACCCCGACAATCGCCACGAGACTGTTCTTCACATCGGTCACAGCAACTCATAAACCTGAAATCATAAAATAGTGATATTAGGAATGGGACGTGAGGGTCAAACACTCACTTTTTGGCAAATTAAGAAGTCCATTAGGTTTTAACATTCTATTGCTTACAAAATGCAAATATACATAAAAGTACAGAGAATAGAACAAAGAACACATATGTCCCTCTCTTGACTTTACTAACATTCAACTAAATTTGTTTTTCCTTTTTTGGCTGGAGTGAGCTATAGGCTTTCAAGGCATTGTACCCTAACTACTCCAGTAAACATCTCCTCAGAACAGCCGTGATGCCTTTGTCCCACCAACAAGCCAACAGAGATTCCTTAACACCAAAGTCTAGTGAAGACTCTGAGCTGCCCCCAGGTCCACACTGGGGTTCAACCACAGTCTGCACCTGGCCCTCTGCTGTCTCCCAAGGAACAGTCTAGGGGAGCACTCTCTGACAGATTCCTGAGACCACATGAGGTCTACTCGGCAGCCACTGGCTGCACATGGCTGGGTGGGGGGCAAGGGCTTCTCACCTCCTCCCATGCTCACCACTTTGACTGTAAACAGCCACATGTCCAGTGGCTACCACAGAAGAGGGGTGGCTCTAGGCCGACCTTTCATTCCTTTTTTGATAATGATGTGTTCGTCTTTTTTGAATGAACAAATTATTCATCCAGCCTAGCTTTGTAACATTTAAAATCAAAACAAATATAAACACTATTTTCATCACCTGGATTTCTTTTAAAGCTGGGGCAGCCCATCCCTGTCCTCCCATGACCCACCTGTTGTTACGAGGCTGGAGACACATGCGGTCCAGGGTGTTGGGGTCGTGCAGCTCACATTCAGGCTTAGGCTTGCCCGAGTCCCTGCTCTCTTCATCTTTAACTTGCTGAGCTGCTGTCCTCTCCCGCTGACTCTCTTGGTCATTGGTCATTACCTGGGACACAACCCTGTGGACTGTCTCTGGCTCTTGCTTGCTGGGCAGAGCATTCTCGACAGTAGTGCCTGCCTCGACATGCACAGTTTCTGTGGGATTCTCCTCCCGACGCTTCTTTCTCAGGTGATTCTGGATGCCTTTCAGGGGCCTATCAGGTGGCTCTTGCTCTCGCTTTCTCCAAAGGCAATTCTGAAGCTCCTTCAAAGTCAGGACATCACTGTCATTGTCGGAGGTGTCCTCCTTCTCCTTGCTTCCTGTGGCCTTTCCAGAAGAGGCAGGTCGCTCCTGTACACCCAAGGAACCAGAGTGGGGGCCACTGTTCATCTCAGAGGTACTTCCTATGCTCCCTTCCAAGGCAGTTTCAACATCTGGGACTGAACAAGACATTGGCTCACTGGAATCCTCAAGGGAGACAGGAACATTCTGTCTTCCTTGGTGCTGAGCTGCTGTAAGGAATTCCTCCAACCACTCGGTGCGCTGTGGCTGCTTCCCGCTGTGTCCCAGGGCCAGGCTGTGCTGCTGCAGGGGCTGCTGCCCCAGCGAGCCTGCCTCTGCATCTCCCACACCCTCTCGCTTAGCAACAGTTGTTCTTCCGAATCCCCAGGTTTTGCTGAAGACCTTCCTTGTGGGTTTGATCATCTCAGGTGCCTCCTCACTGCTCAGGTCACCTTTACCTTCCATACCTAATGAGAAAATATAATCACATCATGACCAGCAAGCCACTGAGCAAAAAGATGACACAACCTCAACCGCACACAAGAGGGAGCACAACCTGCCTAAATGTAAATAAGAACAGGATAAAATGGAACCATCGTCTACCTACAAGATGTGGGGCTGTGCGTGAAGTAAGCCCTGTTGACCAGTGTTTCATGAAGTGTGGCACGTGAAGTGTGGCACATAAGACAATTTTTGGGGGGGAGAGGAGAGAGGGAGGAGGGAGGGAGGTGTCGGTGATGGGCCATAATAATCATATACAGTGTATATTGACAAAATAAAAACTTAACGAAAAAAAAATAAAAATAAAATAAGTAGGATTCAAAACAAAAAAACAAAAAAAAGACAATTTCAGGAGACTCATTAAGGAAACTTTAATAGTTACATATGTAATGTTTGGTAGGAAAAAACAGTCAGCAAGTCAAATGTGTCCTGCTGCCATTTACTTGCTAAGGACAGGGCTTTACAAAACACGGATTAGGGAACACAGGAAATAAGCTCCAGCACAAGCTTGGTAAAGACAGGATCATAGAGTGAGGTTGACAGACAGCCAGCAAGGAGACTGGCCACATCTACTTGGCTCTGGAGTCCTAGGCTGCTGACCACCCTGCTGGAGATTACATGTAGGGGAGAGGTCCTGCCAAGCCCTGGCCTTTAGCTGCCCTGACCCAGGCCCAGGAGGGATGCTGCTCTTGGACCCTCCATACCAGCCTTCCTGCTGGCTGAAATCTGAGTGATCCTCTTGGATGCCATGTGGGAGAAGATTCCACAACATTGAGAGATATGAAACAGGCCTTGTTTTAGTCCACTGAGTTTCAGCAACAGATAACTGAGACACTTAGAAAATATGAACCTAGGCAATAGCTTTAAGGTATAACACTTTTCTCTATTTTCTCTATTTTTTTCACTTTCTAATAGATTCTAAAGGATCATGTTTGCGAAACTTTTGCTCTTGTTTAAAACAACAGAACCTGAAAAACAGTACATACCATGAGAATTCTTTTCCAAGCTGTCCAGCTTTAATCACATTTAAGTGTTAATGACTCTGATTTTTGCCATGTTCCATCTGAGGGAAAGGACAGGTGTAAAATGAAAACCTTAAAATCATAAAACACACAACTTAAGATCACTTGCAACCTAAATTTTTCTTTTTGCTTCCATCTAAATGTTGTCACTTCCCAGTTTCCTATCCAGCTATAGGTGCTGCCTGACTACAAACCTGACCCACACAGTCCTCAGTCACTCAGAAGCTGCTGAGGCATTGACCACACCCCTTCTATCATACCCCAACATGGCTAAACTAAACCAGGCACCAACAGTGACCCTGCATCAGCATGGAAACCCCAGGCCCCCAGTAGTGTGCAGAGGATCCTCTGTGATGGTGGCAACACAAAGGGGGACTTACCATGCCATCTGGGGACACTGTGCAAATCACACTGAAATGCTCTCATCTAGGAGGCAATGCTGACCTGAGAAGGTCATAGGTTTTAAATGTGAGAAATAACACAAAAAGCAAAGACATGCTCCTTATCAGTACATACAGCAGAGCTGTTACTATACTACAGTATACTACATTATACTTATATAATTATAATACAACACTAAATTACAATTGTTTATTCATTCTTGCTAAAAATTTTACTTTTTGGAAAACAGTTTCTCTGCTTACACAAATCAGCAAATTTGTTAGACATTTTAAAAGAAAGTCAAGTCCCAATATTCTTATAACATTTTGAATTTCTACTAAAGATGCAGTCTGAGGGGCCTTCACGAAGAAGGGCACGTGGATGCAGTCCCTCTACAGCTGGGACCTCCCTCTGTGGGGATAGCATTCTGCAGGAGGAATAAAGGGACGCTGTGAATCAAATTCTTTTTCTGTTTG